CCAGGCTCCCCCCCGCGGCGTGACGTCAGTCCCCCCCCCTCCCACCCCCCTCAGAGGCCCAAGCGGGCTCCTCTCGCCTCCCTCACAGGGTCCGGGTGACTCCTCCGGCCGGCAGCCCGTATCCGCTGCCCGGGCAGGGCGGGGAGTAGAGCTCCCCCGGCGAGGGACCCCCGGCCCAAAACGGCGGCGGCAACAACGGCGGCAGCCCCTCCATCGGCGACGGAGCCTCCATCTTCCTCTCGAGCGCGCCGCTTAGTCACGAAGCAGGAAGACGCGACGCCTGGCTGCGCATGCGCGCCGCGAGGCGGTTTGAACCTCATGGCGACCCGTAGGAAGGGAAATCTCCCGCGGAAAGGCGCCATGTTGTGCGTGGCAAAGGTGATATCCGTTTTATTTTCATTTCCCTTCTCCTGTGGAGGGGGCCGAGTGGATAAAGTGGCGGTGGATGGGTGGGGGAAACGAACTCCACTGCTCTGCGGGAAAAGAACTGTGCGGAGGAGGTGGAGCCGGGGAACAGGAAATGGTGGCGGCGCCATTTTGAGTGTGGCTGAGGGGGGACATCTCCGGGAGGACGCTTCCGGTCCAGCGACGGAACGTCCGCTTCCTCCGGAACTGCACGGAAGGAAATCGATGTGGAACGAACTGGATGGGATTTCAATATGGCGTTGGGGACCCGAAGCGCGCTTTCTGTGGGAGGTAAATTAATTGGAATGATTTATTAGAAGTTTTCCTTCTGTGATAATATTCCAAAAAAAAAAAGATAATAAGTGTAACACATGTTAGTAGAGAATATAAAACAATAGCCTTGAAACAGAAAAGGCAAGGAGACTCGAATGAAGAAATCAGTGGAGAGGTACGGAAGAGGATCTGGAGGAAAAGGATAATGAAAAATAGGTCAGTTTTTATAAAGTAATATGGAAACTGGATATATTGAATAGAGATCATCCGTATGTTCGAGATGTAAAAGAGAAAGGGGAACATACGATTATATATGGTGGGCAGGTGAAGAGAGACGGAAGTAATGGATGACTGTATTTAATGAGATTAAAGAAATTCTAGGGACAGACACACAAAGATGCCCAACGTTAGCATTATTAAATGTATTTGGAATCTGTCAGATAGGCAGAAGTGGAACTAATTGTTATGTTAATTGCAGCTAGATTGATATGTGTAAGGAACTGGAAAAATAGTAATTGATGTTGGAGGAATGTTGTAATGAGATATGGAATCTAGCTATTGATGGTAAAGTAGCTTTTGAACTGGAAGTTAGAAAATGATTATTGAAAGAAAATAGATATAATGGGATTTGGAACCCTTATCTAGAATACGTACAGTACTTATAAAACATAAAGGTTATACACCAACACAAAAATATTTTTGGAAAGAGATGGGGCATATGGTAGTGGGTTACACTGTATATTTGAGTTATGATTATATTTGTCATTTAACAAAATATAAATAATAATGATAATTATAATAAATAATAATAAAACAATAAAAATAAAAAAGAATTTTTCTTTTTATTTCCTGGCTGGGATTGCTGTGGTTCACAAACTCTTGGCCTGCGTAGACTCTTTTAACTTTTTCCCCCGTCTCTCTCTTCAGTTCCAAGTTCAGCCGAAAAGTGCAGTTTGTGGCTAGTCTTGATGAGCTGTCTGAGTGGATCCCCGTGGAGCAGGTGCACATCCCGGATTGTGTCTGCCAGTGAGTATTTGATGTGCTCTTTTTTGGGTCCCTCAAGAAGTGAGTCTGGGAGAAGGGCTATTATGGTCTTAATGGCATCATCTTAGCGATGTCACCATGTAGCCCTGGCCTTACCTGACAAGCCCCATGTCTAGATGGAGCTGCTAAAAAATAAGAATGATGATGTCATTAGGGGTCTGAACTGTGAGGTCACAGGGTATAAATGCTGAAATTGGCCCTTGAAGCTCAAAACATTCAAAAGAATTGTAGGGGGGGGGTGGAATTTAAGGGCAGGATCCCTTCTTTTCCCTGCTATTCAGCCATTGTCCAGGGCATTCTCGGTGGGTGTAGAACATAACAATCCTTCAGGGCATCAGAGCATTGGGGAAGTGGAAGGGACGGAGTCTCCTGGGAGGGGACGTGGCTGGCTGGCTAGAAAAGAGCACGGGCTTCACACTTTGTTGAAGCAGGTTGGACTTGTGCTTTTAAGGGGAAGCTTCCCACCCAGCATGAAATAGAAATGCAAAAATAAGCAGTACTTTAATAGACCACTAAAAAAAATCAACATACTAATACTTAAGCTTTTGGGGATAAAAACACTTCATCAGGTTTCTACCAACCAGTATGCAGAGCTTAAAGTCTGGAGTTTCATGGCAAGATGGATTTAGCCAGGCACCTCTCTCTTAGATGTAAGTCTAGAGTTGCAGTTGTGGGGTGAGTGTAAGAACTGAGTTCTCAAAACAAAGCATAGGCCATGTGTGTGCAGCTGTTTCTTTGAAACAGGCATGGAGAGAAAACCTGATGTTTCCATCCAGGAAGTAAAGCCATTTAGGATTTTCGTACACAGTTCACTGGCGAACTAACTCCTTTGGTCAGTGTTTTAATTTTCTTTTTACAGATTCAAACACACCCACCTATTTTTAAAAATGAAAAATGCTTCTGGTGAAAACTGTCCAGGGTCATGGGGAGGGGTTTCAAAATTGTCATTTGAAAGTCAGCTTTTAAGATGAAAACGAAGGAAAACAAAGCCTCCCCTTCGACCAGGACGATTTTGTTCAGTGGATGAATTTTAAAAAGAGAGGCTTCGGAGGCACCTCTGCTAACTTAGAACTTTAGTGGAAACCACTCTGCATATGCCCAGAGACACTGTTGTTTGATATTGCTTTATATGCCTACGCTGATGGGGCTTTCATAGAAACTGTTTGAAATGCAGCGGCTGTGTAAGAAAGAGAGTGAGTGAGTGAGTTACAGAGTCTGGAAATCCCAGAATCCCCCTAGCCATACTGGCTGAGGGATGCTGGAAGTTATGTTTCCCAGAAGTATTTCGTACTTCTGACACCAGCTGAAATTTTAAGGTTTTTTGGGAGGGTGGGACAGCATAAAGTTTATTAAATTTGTTGGCCATCTGGGAGTTGTAGTCCAAAAACAAGTACAGTAAATTACTTTGTGAAGCCTAGGAGAATTGCTGTCCTTGTATTTTGTATCTGGACGGCAAGATAGGAGGGCTTTTGAAAGGGGGGTTCTGATGCAGAAGCTTTTTGTGGGAGGGCTTGGTGCCTGCCCTAGTCCTGATTTGCATATATGCAAATAAGGTAATCTTCCTAATGAAAAAAACACAGTGCTCCAAGACTGGGGGAATGTCTATTTCCACAAAAAGTTTTGTCCCCATTTAAAAAAATCTGTATTTCTAGGCATGGGAAGTGCATCAAATGCTGAACACGCCCCAGGAGTAAAACGCGAAATAAATGCATCAAAACTTGGGTGTGTTTGCATCCGTGTGAGTCCTGTTAACTTGGCGCTTTGTTTGTTACGATGACATTAAAGAGAGAGAGAAAAAAACAAATCGAAACGGGAGTCTTTTTGTGCAAGTCGTTTATTTTACCATCTTTAGTCGACAGTGGAAAACAGACAGGGCCGGGGCAGGGGGGGGTAGGGGGGGGAAAGCAGCAGGAAAGCGGCCTCTTTCCCAGGAGTAAGGAACTCTGCCCATGCTCAGAGGCGCCGTCCGGCGGGAGGCACCCCTGGCAGCAAGGCAGGGGCGTCGTCGTC